GACTCGAAGTTGGGTTCAAAGCTCAACTGTGTGATGAATGGTGTGTTCTTGGACAGGCCCCTTCACTCCCCAGAGCCTGTTTCCCCATCTGTAAGAAGGGTCTTTAACACGTGCAGTTTTATGATGGAGTCAGGGTGAAGGAGATGTCCAACAGATGCCTGTCATGTGGGAATCAGGGACTAAGGCCTGAAAACAAGGGCCCCCAAACTCATGGCCACCCCTAGAGTGATCCGGCACGACCCTGGTTAGACCTCTGCGACCCCCGGCCTTGATTTCCCGTCACGTGGAGCTCAAGCCACCACCTGGCATGGTTCCTGGCGGGGGGTGGAGGAACGCTGGCTCATGATAGGGGTGCTGTGTACATGCCAGGCAGTACTCTAAGCTCTTTACACACGTGGACTTGTTTAATCCTCACAGCAACTACCACCATCCCATTTTACAGAGGGGGAAACTGAGGCTCAGAGCAGCTGAGTAACTTGCCCACAGTCACACAGTTAATTGAGGGAGCCGGGCCCTGGATCCCCTGCTGATAACCACCCTGCCATATAACAAGATTATACAGTGCTATCCAGCTGGCCTTCATGAGATAGGCCTGCAGAGGCCTGGAGAAGGGGCCGGAAACAACCAAGGCTTCCCCAAGGCTGCTGACCAAATCAGCGCTGGCCAGGCAGCCGGTGGGACACTCTGGCGCCGTGACGTCGGTGAAACCCACACCCTTTTCGAGGAAGGCAAACCCACCCAGAATAATTGTTGAGCCAACAGGCGGCTTAAGCCTCTTGTAAGCCCGGAGGTGCCCGGGAGGGACGAGGCCAGGCACCATGCCACCGCTGCCAGATGAGCAACAGTCACCCTTTTGGCCAGCTTTTTTTTTTGGCTGTTGTTGCTGTCATTATTGTTTTTTGCGAGGAGAGACAGGACATCTCAAGAATTTGCCTGTGCTGCTTAAAGGATTAATTTTCACCTGTAGCATCATGTGGGACTTGCAGCCACTCCCTTTCCTCTGCGCTGTCATGTTTTACTGCTCTCTTTCATTTCACCATGAAGAAATAGGATGAGAATGTTCTAGAAACTGTAGCCCCGGGGTGGGGATGGGGGACGCAGGGGAGAGAGGGCAATTTATTCTCCCTGGCAGCAGGACTGAACTTAGATGCCAGAGAGGGCCACTGGGTGCGGGATCATTGGAGATGCTTATATTGTTTTCTCGCTTCTTTATACACGTATGAGCTTTCCACATTTGCATAAGCAAAAGAATGAAAAAACTATGGTGAGGATAGCTAATGTTTATTAAGCATTTACTACATGCTGACTTTACATGTATTAACCCATTTAACCCTTACAACCATCCTAAGAAGAAGATATTCTTATTAGTCCTGTTTCCAGATGATGAACTGAAGCACAGAAAAGTAAATAAAGTAATGGAAAATTCAAACTGTCAAAATTTAAAAAGAGATTGTCAATAAAAAGGATCAATCTACTGATGCTACGACACGGATGAACCTCAAAGGCATTATGCTCAGTGAAAGATGACAGACACGAGATCATGTATTATATGATCCCATTTATGTGAAATGTCCAGAAAAGGCAAAAAAATCTATAGAGACAGAAGGTAGATTAGTGAGTGCCTGGGGCAGGGGGTGGAAACGGGGGTTAACAGTAAATGGACACAAGAGATCTTATTGGGAGACGTGAAATATCCTAAAACTGATTTATAGTGATAGTTGCACAACTCGGTAAATTGACTAAAAACCATTGAAATGGGTGAGTTATATGATATGTAAAATATGCCTCAATAATGTTGTAAAACAAAGAAATGTAACTAAAATTTGGAAATCTAACATTTATTGAGCACCTATTATACACATTTCCAGTGCAGACAGCTCTTCATTTGTTTACCTAAACTCACCTTTTTGAGCATCTGTTATGTGACAGGCCCCATACCAGGATACGGGGGTATAGTGGTGAACTAGACCTGGTTCTGGTTCAAAGTCCCTGCCCTGATGGAGATCATGGTCTGGCAAGTGTTGGGGGTGGGGGTGGGGGTGGGGGTGGGGTGGAGATTCGGATGAAAGAGCCCACAGTGACAAGACAGGGTACCTGGTGCTGTTCTGGGGTGGGCACACGGCTGACATAGCCCAGAGGGAGCACCCCAGTCCAGACGTGGCAGGTGCTGGGAGGGCAGAGAAGGTTTTGTGCATCTAGGCTGGGACTCAAAGGACGAGGGGTAGTTACCAGGTGAAATGTAGGGGGAGTGGGGTGGGGAGAATGAAAGTTCTTTGACCATTCATTCATTCATTCTTTTATTCATTCATTCAGCAACTGTTTATTGCGAGCCTGCCATGTGCCCAGAACTTTGACAGGGCAGCAGAGTGGCCGTGACAGAGGTGGAGGGTGTAAGAAGCGCCTTGTAGGTGAAGTTGTACCCATTTCACTGATGAGGAAATGGAACCTCAGAGCGGTGGGATGACTGGCCAGGTTACGCAGCTAGAGCAGAGACACAAACCTAAGCCAACCTTGGCCCAAAATCCCATCTCTGGAAACATTCTCCCTTCCTGCCAGAAGAGGCCAGGTGGGTCAGACACATCGCTGTCATTTTGAGGGCTACGGGTAGGTACCCCACTAAGAAAATCCACTCTTGTTCAGCAGGTGGAGGCTGGCATCCCTCCAGGGAACATTCCTTTGTCGTTGGAACGACCCCCCTCCCCCACCTGGTGAGGACTCACCGGTAGTCCCTTTGGATGATGGATGGGGGAGGTGAGGGTATCCAGCTGAGGGGAAGGGACCACTGACTTCACTGTCCAGCGTGAGGTAGGACTGAGCATTGGACAGGGCGTGGGACCAGAATTCTAGACCAGGCTTTGCCACCAATTATCTGGGCAACCTGGGTCTAGTCCCTACCCCTCTCTGGGCCTCAATTCTCTGGTCTCTGAAATGGGAACATTGGGCTTGCTGCACTCTGAGCTCTGTCTGGCTGACATTGGTGACCAGGACTGCTGGCCTCAGAAGTCTCCAGAGTTATATGGGCTGGAAGTAGGGTGACTAACTTGTCCCAGTTTGCCCAGGACGTTCTGGGTTTTAGCCCTCAAAGTTCTGCATCAAGGGAAGCCCCTCCGTCCTTGGCAAACAGAGACAGTTAGTCACCCTAGCTGGAAGGACATTAGGTTAGCCTCCCTCTCATCTCACCCACAAAGAGCAAGGCACACAGCATTCTCCCTTTTGCTCCTATGGGGCCACAGAACTATTTTCTAGGCATTTTGTTTGTACAAATTATGTTTCTAGGACTCAGTTGAAAATCCCTTCAAGTCCGGGTACTCCTTCCTCCATTTCCTTCAGATCTCTGGTCTCTGTTCAGCCGTCTGCTCCAGGTCAAGCGTCCGTCCTCTGCACCGCCTCCCACGTCTCAGGACAGTCTTTTGGGTTGTCTGCCTCCATTAGCTCCCCCAGAGCACCTTAAACTCTTGGTCGCATCGTCCGCGGTTGTTTCCTCTGCATTAGGGTTGGGTCTGTGCCCAAGCAGATGCTCAATTAACGATCATGGGATGTCTATCTCTCCAGTGCCCGGGACAGGGCTAGGGGAGCCCGAGAGGGTTTCACACCCCAACTCCAGGGCAATGCTGTTGGCAGGGCAGATCCTTCCTGGAAAAGGCTTCAAGGAGCCACTCCCCAGGTGTGGCTTCCTAACCCTTTCTGTCCCACAGGCCCTTTGGGAACCTGGTGAAGCCTGTGGACCCCTTCTGAGAATAATTTTTAAAAATTGCATTTGGATTACAACAAAAACAATTCTACTAAAACACAATTATCAAAATATTATTAAAAAATTTTTGTGGTATAGTAACATGGGTGCTTCTTTATTAACACATTAAATAATATTTCCTAGTCAGTCTGATATGATCTTAATTTCAGAGTTGTATTAGCTTAAATGATATTTCGAGATATCTACAGTAACTGTAGTGTGATTTAGTGACAAAATCACGGGGACTTCTACTTGTCGCCTGCATTCATGATCAAAGGAAATGCTAAGTGCCATGTAGAGATTAGTGAAAATGAAGATATAACTTTTTTCCATCTCAGTGTCATGGACCCCTCAGAATTCTATCCTCAGCCTCCTTGGGGGTCTGTAAACTCCTGCTTTAAGGCAAAGGGGTTTTGATTCTTTAGGTTAGATAAACAAGAAAATTGGGGAGAGATAGAGAATGAAGTAGACAGCAGTGACCACACTGGGTTGGGCTAAGCAGAGAAAAGTTTCAGCACAGGTGAGTTTCGGTGGCGCTGTGTGCTGTAAAGGTGAGCCTCTTTGTCAGGGAGCAAGGAGCTGGCGTTGAGAGAAGGAAACATGGGGAGGGTTTGCTCTGGAGACTGAATCAAAAACAGCAGACGAACATCACAGCCATGACCTCACCCCAGAGCAAGCCCGGGTCTCCTTTGTGTCCCTTTTGTCACTGAGAACACCAAGCCACTGTCCCTGTAAGACAGGGTGCCTGCCCTAAAGCTTACACACAGCGAGACAAAACAAACACAAAAGTTAATAACAAGACAAAAATTAAATTGCAATCCAAAAACTGCGGACAGAAGAATCTGGAACATGCCACATATCTGGTTAAGTGCACACAGGGCAAGCCACAGGCATTCAAAGGTGGGGGTCGCCTCCCCTCGGAGCTTTGCGGTGAGGATCGAATGGGGACATGGACAAAGTCTAGCAACGCCGCTTAGAGCGTGCGCTTTGGAATCGCTTGCTGTTCCTCTGGTCTCAGTGATCCTCTCTGTAAAAGGGGGATAATAACTAAGCATGACATCTGACATATACTAAGCACTCAATAATGGGAGCTATTATTACCATTTAAAAAATAACGACAGATGTTTGCAAACTGGTTCAAGAGACACGAGGAGACTGCAGAATTTGGTCATTAGGGTGGTAGCTCTGAAAACAGATTTGAACGAGTGAATGAGTAAACAAATGAATGCGTCCTTGGGTTGGCTCCGCCCTCCAGACCGATTACGCCGGCATGCTGCCCCCTAAGCGATTCAGCGAAATGGACCCCCGGCTCCAGGGTCAGCTGCATCTCAGTGTATGAGGTGTGCGGTGGTGGGAGGTGGCCACTCAGGGCCGGGGAGCCCCAGCAGCCCAGGCGGAGCTTGCGGGTGTCATGTTCCGGGAGGGTCTTCGCTCCGTCTCCCCCTCCCCCACTCCCCACTCAGCGCGGCCTCCGTGGGCCCGGGGACCAGCGGGCTCGGCAGTGCCCAGGTCGATCTCGGGGCGACGGGCGAGCGGCTGAAGGAGGGGCAGCGGTCAAGGAGCCCGCCCGGGTTCTCCGCGTGGGGGACGTGCCGGCGGAAGCGCTGCCTTATCCTGGGAAGGTCGATCTAGGCCGTCCCAGGCTGGAGTGGGGGTGGGGTGCTGATGCATCTTCGGATGCTATGGTCCCCCAGCCCTTCCAGGCCAAGGTCTCCCGCACCCAGTGGGAATTTGGGGCCGGGGGAATTGGGGTGGGGGTGAAAGAGAAGCGGAGCCTCCTTGGCAGAGGAGTGGGGGAAGGGGCGCCCTAAAGGGGGAAACGAGCGCTGCCCAGGCTGCCGGCCCCTTTAAGAGGCCGGGCTGGCTCTGCGGCGGCTCCAGCTAACCGCGTGCCTGGCGCAGCTCTGCGGTCCGTGTCCCGGGGCGAGGAATCGGAGCCGGGCGGGGCGGCAGGACCCGGCGCGGGCGGGGGCGTGGTCCAGCCGGCAGCTGGGCGGAGCCGGAGCTGCAGACAGCCTGTCAGCGGAGCCGAGAGAGCGGCG